CTTCTACATGATAACAATAACGATAATATAATAAAAATGATAATAACAAAAAAGCAATTATTCAGGAGCGCTAAAACCGATGCGACTAAGGACTAAAAATTAATCTAGCGGCTCGATTCTGGACGTTTCATATTACCTTCTATCTTTTGTAGACAAAACGGTATAAAGACTATTTACAATAATCTAACCTGGGTAGAATTAATGCACGAACAGCATGGTGACAGTCTTGATATCAAGGACAATGTGAATATGGTATTGATGCATACAGGCGCGCCGGAAGCAGTTTGGGATGGGGGGGGGGGGCAAACATTCCAGGGGGCTCATCTTCCAGGGGCAGTGAGCCAGTGAGGTAACGAGCAAAAACGTTTGGAAGAGGGGGGGGGCAGAAGAAAAATCTGCATCAACCACCACTCTTACACGTTACATGCAGGCCCCGCGGAATGTTTTTTAAAGTGGATTATTAACGATCAGGTAGATCGTAAATTGGCGTGGGGTCCAAGGCCTGAGCCCCGGTAGGGGGTCAAAGGGCTGAGCCCCCAGAAGCTCAGGGGTTTTAGACATTAAAATCATGGTCAGATAAACATTTTTAAATACCTTATTTGTGACACTGGCAGGCCACTAATTTGAGGAGAGTCCAAGGAGCAGAGCCCCCGGAAGCTCGTTTTTTTTAGTTATTTAATAACGGTCAGATGAGCATCCAGAGCCCCGCCTTAGGGCCCTTGGTTGGGTCCAGGGGGCAGAGCCCCCGGAAGCTCGGGGTTTTAGGTATGTAATAACGGTCAGATTAGCATACAGGGAACCGCCTAAGGGTCCTAAGTTGGGACCGGGGGCAGAGCCCCCGTAAGCTCTGGGATTTTAGGAATTTGATTACGGTCAGATGAGCATCCAGGGCCCCGCCTTAGGGCCATTGGTGGGTCCAGGGGGCAGATCCCCCGAAAGCTCGAGGGTTTTAGGATATTTAATTACGGTCAGATGGGCATACAGGGGACCGCCTTAGGGCCCTTGGTGTGTCACTTATTTTTTTTCTCTCTCTTTCTTTCTTTTTCTCTGTAACAAACTTTTTCAAAAAGTGAGGGGGGCTCGGGCCCCCGAGCCCGGACATTCTGCAGACCATGACACAAAGGCTTGTAAATAAGCATATTTTTCGCCCGACTGTAAATTTGGGAATTTCTAATTTTCCAACAAACGCATAAAAAGGTATGATAAAAAAAATTAAGAAAAAATACCGGAAAATCATGTCATTTCAGCAACATTTGTAAAATACTGGTATCGAATAAAAAACACCCCCCCCCCCCATCAGTACGCCAGCGTTCAGGGGCTCATGAGAGTCTCACTCCTATAACAAATAACAGACACACTTTCCCATTCTCTCACAATATGTCCACGATATGCGCGTATCGCTATTATAAAAACCTCCAATGATAAATATATGTAGCATGCGCAATGTTTAGGAAATTTAATTCCTGTTAACTTTCCTTTTCTTTGAATGGAAATTTATATGTCATTTAATTCAGGTTGTTATTATTGTTATGTTCTTTTGGGTTCAAATACAAACCATCTTTACTCCTATACTGCTTTTCTTTTCTTTTTTGAGGGGGGGGGGCGTTTTTTTTTTTTTTTTTTTTTTTTTTTTGGGGGGGGGGGCAAAAATGCGTTTTCCTCCCCCACTTTTTTGACTGGGGGGGGGGGGGCAACTGCTCCCCCTGCCCCCACTTCCGGCGCCTATGGATGCATATACTCCAAGATCAGTAACTCTAGAGGAAAGAGGTATAAGTTTGACCATTTAACAAAATTGTAAAGCAGAGAAATGTAAAACGATTAGAAACGTATTATTAAATGTTGGTATTAAAAAAAATGATGGCATGGATGGGTGACACTGAACAAAAAGTAAACTGCAATAAATAAAATACAAGTCATGTACATTATGGCAGCATGTGAAACATCTCATATAGCAGTCTACAAGTATTACGAGTACTTGAGAAAAAAAATATTCAGTAGATGTCTAGTCATTTAAATATTACATAAAAATTCATGTGATCACAAAAGAACAACATAATATAAAATTAAAACACAGATACAATCAAATTAAGGGAGAGGCTCAGAGAGTGGTATGCGAAGAGCGCACCTCTATCACCCCACTATCACGATTACAATTATAATAATCATGATGATGATGGTGATGATGAAAACCTTTTAGATGGGAATGTAATCGCTTAAGTTACTCGATAATTCTATTTTCCTCGGCCAAACGCTCCCTCCTGAATTAGAGTGCTCCCCCGCCCACCCGGAATTTACGCAAGTCAATTAGACAATACTTGTAAGAGGAGTGATAAACCACCACTCATATGCCTTCACAACGACACACCATTCTTGATTCTGCATCATGTCATTTGATAAAGCGTTCTAAAAACAGTCGCTTGTACACTTATTATATTCCCAAGAACCATGAGACATTGACTTCCTCTTTGAGAAATCAAATCTGAGAGACTACCCTTTTCTTCTTCTTCGTCATCAACAGCATCATCACTACTTTCATCTTATTTTTCTTTTTTCCTCTATTTTCTTCTCCTCCAACTCCTTCTCCTTTTCATTCTTATATCATTTCCTCTTCATATTATTCTTCTTCCTCTTCTTCTGCTTGTTCTTCGTCCTCTTCTTCTTCATCTCCTTCTATTGTTATCTTCTTCTTCTTTCTTCCTTCATTTCTTCTTCTTCTTCTTCGTCCTCTTACTCTTTTGTTCATTAAAAAATAATTCCTCAATCGAAATCCAAATGGTCTCATTTTTAGATTTTATGATCACAATTTCCCTGTGATTGATGACGACTTAAAGAAAGGGATTTAAAATAAAAACGGCGCAAGGTATGCAATTTATTTCGGATTAGGAAGCGATGCTGTCGCTGATTAGGCTTATACGGGGGCTTATAACTTACCTTATCGCACTCTTGCACAAGATATTAGTGTTTTATTTTTATACACTGTAAATGCATACTCTTAAAGGGCAAGGCGACTCCCAAAATAACTTCCTTCTAATAGAAGCAGAAAAATTCAGAAATACCAATCAAAAAAAGTTTGCGCAAAATCAGATAACTAATTAAAAAGTTATGAATTCTTATTGACATGAAAGACTTTGAAATTCACGCGACAAATTGGCAACTCACTCATGAGTCTGTTATGTTATTGCCTCACTATTCACTTATTATTTTCCTTATATTGATAATATAAATTTCACATTCTCCCCCTAAATATCTCATTTCCTCACACCAGCATCCAAGTTATATTGATAGTAATATGTTTTTGTGTGGATGAACTAATATAGACTAATTTGTTTCAGTTAAATCATTAAACATTTGAATTTTGATAAACTGTTTATATAAGAATCAACAATTATGAATAGTATCATAATTATTGATTCTTATATAAACAGTTTATCAAAATTCTAATTTTTCAAAGTTTATAGCAGACTTTGTGAAATGTCATGCACGCAATATGATACAAATCTTGTAACCTGGGCAAAGACATGGGGAAATCAAGTTTTTCGGGATAAAAAAAAGGGAAATTAATGAATCAAAATATATAAAGCAATTGATAAATAGTGAGGCAATGGCGTCACAAACTGATAACCGAATTGGCAATTTGTGTAGTGATTCCCATTGTTCCATATTTTGTCATACTTTAACAAAAATCATTATTTCCTTGTTATAGTTATCCGACATTACTCAAATTTTTTTGATTAGTTTGATTTTTCTGCTACTGAAAGTAAGTTATTTTTGGAGAGATAGTGTGAGGAAATAAGATTCTTAGGGGGAGAATAGGAAATTTGTATTATCAATATAAAGAAAACAATAAGGGAATAGTAAGGCAATACTGCGTCAAAGACTCATGAGTGAGTTGACAATTTGTCGCATGATTTTCAAAGTCTTCCATGTCAATACAAATTCAAAACTTTCTTATTAATTGTTATCCGATTTTGCTCGAAACTTTTTTTATTGGTTTGTCTGATTTTCTGCTTCTATTACATATGTATAAAACAATAATTTATTCCAATCTGGACTTGGGTAATCCAGATTCAAATCAAATTACATGCCAAATCCTTATAATTTGAGAACTCTCTCATTTATAGGGCTTATAGCCTCCACTGCTTTGCTTTTCTCATGGTATAGCCAACTATCACCTCCATCACACTTTATATGACATTTTCGCTGTATATTTAACTTTCTCATTTTCACTCCTTCGCTTTCCTCATTAAAGTATTTATGAAATCACTAAAAGTAAATTCTCTCTTTCTCATGCAGTAGTAGAAAGACATCGCATTTATACAAACATTAACACAATACACTTAAATAATTAATTAATGATGCTTTTTGCAGTTGAAATGTAATCCATGTTTCTTTATTTGGCAATACAAATAAATGCACTGATAACAAATAAATAATTATTTACACAAAATAGGTTGTCAATATCACTTTTATAAATAACACAACTTGCAAAATATACAAATGTATATCATGCTGTTTGTTCTGACGTATAACTTTATACATGACATGGACCCTTTAAAAACGTATAAGTTTATACATCGTACAGACCATCCAAAAACGTATAAATTTATACATCGTACAGACCATCCAAAACGTATAAATTTATACATCGTACAGACCATCCAAAACGTATAAGTTTATACATCGTACTGACCATCCAAAACGTATAAATTTATACATCGTACAGACCATCCAAAACGTATAAATTTATACATCGTACAGACCATCCAAAACGTATAAATTTATACATCGTACAGACCATCCAAAACTTTTAAATTTATACATCGTACAGACCATCCAAAACGTATAAATTTATACATCGTACTGACCATCCAAAACGTATAAGTTTATACATGGATTTGGAGGGTGCGTGCCATGTATAAACTTATACATATAAACATACGTATAAACTTACAGTGATCCTACAAATTGACCCTCTTAAAGTGATGTGAAACTTTAATATAATAACAAGGAGTAATTACAGCTGGAGTAAAAGCTTAACAATTTCCTCTGAAGTAGGCTCAATGCCACAACAACCACGACAAATATATATGCGCTCTCCGAATACATGCACATTGATTCAAAAGAACTAACGATGAAACACCCGCGGCCAGTATTGCTACAGAGGATGCACATATGCAATTAAAGGTATTCAATATAATGATAATTGGTTACACAGAAAGTGCTCATGAATGGTATAACCAGGTGTAAGCAAACAGATACACGTCCAAAAATACAAGATTTAAAGTTGCTAATTCCATGAGTGGACACATGTGGACTTTACTCTGGTTGATTTAATTTAATAGAAATATTTTCTTGATAGTACCATATAAAATATGAAAATCAGAAAAGCAATCAGCAAGGGATCAATATTGTACTTGAAGCAGTACATATTTATTACACTCTTAAGGCAATATCTCAAGAAATCTTGCTTGTTGAGGAATGGGATTTTCAGAGTGGCATCGTACATAATTACTAAACAATTGCCTATTTGTTTTCTATGTTTATTGATATAATAAATCAACTGTGCAAACAAAAACCCACAAAGTTCACATCCTCTCTAAAATGTTTTCTTTTACTTTGGTGGCATCGCGCATCAAATATCAAAGAACCAAGGCAGTTTAATAATTCTATTGACTATCCTTTGGAATCTGCCAGATGTTTGCATAAATTATCCTCAGTTTGGACTCCAGCTCTGATAATTCCTTGATTATAACTTTGAAGTATATGATCTTCCAACTACATCATTGATATCAACAACCGTCTTCTGATGCTTGGAAATGAGTTAGATCGAGTGTTTCATTTTGACAAGATGGTAACAAAATCAAGGGCCCAATAGTTGTGACCCGAGTTTTTATCCTTGATAAAATAATAATATGTGGGTTTTTGTGTTGATGCTTTAGAAAAATAAATAAGGTGACGAGTCACGTTCACCAACCCTGTGCCTTTGAAATTACCTTCAAAGTAATCAAGTTCACTTGGCAAGACAAAAATATGCTCTAATAAAAGATAATAATAATAATATTGCACTCTAGTATAGCGCTCATCTATATAGCAAGGTGCTCCTGCATGTATGTTACCTGACCTTAACTAGGCTACATATTTTGGTACAACATAGTTTGAGTGTAGTAAATGTATGTTAAGGTCTTGCCAAAGCTAGACCTTAGTGAAGTGGCCGAGATTTGAACCACATACATGTACCTAATGATCGGTAGTCCAGCCACCTATCTACTAAACTAAAAACACATCTACACATAGACTTAAATACTTGTATTAGATAGCTCAGAGAGTTGCTAAGGTGTGATTGGTCCACAGCATGTCAAGTGATATGGGGACTGCAATTTATTGTTAACAGTTCACGCCCGGTCATCTGGATGGTTATATTGACCAGCTGGTCAACGATAACAGTAGGAGCATACGCGCTTGAGCTAAGACAATGTATTCATGTATCAACAATATTCGTTAATAACAGCTAAGCACAGAGAAGAAAGGCGAAGACAATGGATATCTACTGTAGATCAGACTCTATTAAACTGTTCGTGTTCAGACTTTCATGTAAAAACCATGACTTGGTCTTAATCAAGGTTATCTAATATTATAATAGATATTTCCTGTTATGTATGTAATACATATTCTTTAGCCTACCTAAAGGAGTTTTATTTTCCCTCATGAAAATACAACTCCAGCGGCCAAAAGAATGATATATAAACACCCTACCAGCCATATCTGTATAAAAATATTTACATAAAAACGTTAGTTTGTCACATATCTTAACAAGATTTTTCAGAACTAAATGAGGTAGTGATCGAGGTGAGGAAACGAGAGAAACAAAATGCACTAAGGTATAGAACACGTCTGGTCCATGCTTAATACTAGATCTGCATCTAGAATCTCCTCCGAGTCTGCAGCACCCATCATGGCCTCTATTTCTGTGCTGGACAGTGTTGTCTCCTCTACCATCCTCCCATTTCGTCCACATTCTGCTGCAACCCTTGCCAGCAGTCCTGAAAATATAATAGAGAAAAGAATATTTAATTTTGTTTGTCTGGTGAAGCTTGTGAAGAACCAAGTTATTAGACGCAACACTAGGTAAAGGGCTTTAACCACAGCAAACGAGCACCTAATTCCATACCAAATGCATTACATATTGTTCATTTTTGTATTTTACTTTGGTAAGTTCAATATGGAATGCTTTAGTAAAGTTCAGTCTGTCTTTGATTTTCAAAGCTGGTTTTCGAGTTAAATTTGCTCAACATCTCTTTATCAATACATTTCTACTTAAATGATAAACCCCCTTTTTTAAATTTTTGGTTGTCTTACTAAAATAATACTTTTACATTATCAATAAAAAAAAAAAATAAAAAAAAAGCATAAACCCTTACTGAATGGGGCTATTTTGAAATTTGTAAGACTGGAGGGGGGGGGGCCTCAGAGCCTACCCCTTAAGTAACCAAATTTGGCACTGACGTTTCAATTTTCTTGTTAGAATTTTTAAAATCTGATTTTATTTCTCGAAAATGGTATACACATATGAGTTATAGTTTAAATAGACCAATCTGAATGTCTCAAATTGTAATATCTATGGAAAGTATTTTTAAATAGTGAATATGTGAGCCATTGTTTAAAAACAATATATCTAACGATCGGTTCTAATAACCACCGTTTTAATTTCTCTCCTGGTGAGAATATATATAAAAAATCTCTGTTTGTAACCTATCTAAAATGTTTCATTCCAAATTGTTTTTGGTTTCAGAGTTTTTGAGAAGATATAAAGCTCTCTATATCTCTCTTGACTTGGATTTTTTTTAAATTATATGCTCACAATGTCATCTCAAGTCTTTAAGCTTTTACACAGTTCATTTCTTCTCAAACAGTTTTTATATGCCTTTTTTTTGCATATTTTTCAATTCTTATGTATTTCAATGTTTTATGAACATTTTTTTTTTTTGCATTCTACTGGAAAACTGGAAGAAAAAAAAAAAAAAGAAAAAAAAAAAAAATCGGCTCGACCTTTTATCATGAAAGGTCTGATTTTCAACACCTCAGTGTCATAAGATTTATAACACTTGAAAAAAAAATCATGAAGCGCTAGCTATTGCTGAAAATGCAATGGGTTTGACAACAAAATTTGTCTGGGGGGGGGGGGGGGCGCCATCTGAGACCTTTCCGGTAAAGTTAGGGTTAACACAAATTTCCGACAAGGCACAGGGTTGCTTATTGATATTGACCATGATTTTGCACGACCCCAAATCTCGTGACTAAAATCTTTGTTGTGCAACACTGGGCAACTTTGATGCTATTAATGTCAGTTATTATGCGTCTAGAATTTATGGATAGTGAAAAATAGGTAAATATACTTGAATTGAAAAAAGCCAATTTGAATTTACACAATTTGGACGTTATTTCACAACTTTCCTTTCCTTACATTTTATTTTATTTTTGTATTCATGTTGCTTTATTGGTATCTCTATATATTTAATCTACCCATTTATTCTAAAACTGTATCATAATTTAATTGGATCTGTATATAGATAAAATGTCTTACCGTCTCCAACGTCAAGAACCACTTCATCAATAGAAGTGAAATGCTCCACTGCATATTTGTAGAAGTCTGATCTTGATGGCATGTAGAGTTGGCTAGTGCCAGCACCCCTCCTCCTAGACTCGACAATACCATACTGCATACAGACATTATGGTTGACATCTGTTGATAAAATATATATGCACATTTTATATGGCTACTTAGAACAGTATGAATAAGCCTTAATTTCCTATAGAAGTAAAACGAATATACATACATGTGATTTTTCACATGAGGCACAATTTCTTTTCAAACAGATACAATGTGATTTTTTGAGTTCTGAATGCACCTTTTTCTTTAGGAATCAAAAAAACCCAGACATTAGAAATGCATTTGTTTCACAATTACTCCGCAGTTGTCTAATTAATATAATTAGCTTGCTTTGGAGGTAATGTGTTTGAGATCACATGGCAAGCATCTTATCTTCATTTGTTCAGCATTAGTCAGCTATTATATGTTTTTTTCCCCCAAAAGCATTCAGTAATCATTATTTTTTGAAGTTTTGAACATTCATTGTAAATGTCATTGGATTCTGTCAGAAATTAATTTCTGTCATTACCAGAACTCAAGATTATATTTAAAATCCAAGTGATATAAACAAAAATTTATATGAATGTTGAGCTTCATAGGAGGATTTCTTAAGAAAGAATTTTCATTCAGATCGAGCAGCCAATCTAACACACTGGAAGTTATACGGTAACATTCTTTCTTAATAATTTATATTTTTTTAACACACACTGCAGCTATCTCATTATTACACAACCACAAAAACGTTTGTTATGTTGCTTTGAATACCGAAATAACAGTCAGCTTCATAAGATATTTAATAAAAGACATGGAACATGCATAGTTACCTTGAATATCTCCTACTGGGGACTGGACAATATGCAATATATGCACATCGTGTCGGGTATGTTGGCTGACCACTTTGGATATCGCTGTGATGTCCTTTGTCAGGAAGATTCTGGTAGTAGCCGATGGTGTTGAGGATAACTGGATATCCTGTAATATCAGAAATTCAAATAAAAAGGAAAGAACATACAAATTAACTATAATTCTAATATGTTGAGCCCAGATAATATACACAATGCAAAGTTCTGGAAACTGTTTTTTTTTATTTATACCCTTTTCATAATTATCTGCAGCTTAACATTTGCTATGTTGAATCAAAATAGAAAAATCAAATTTGAAAATAGGATGAAATAGCATGTGGGTGCACTTTTCCATGCCAGTCGTCTGGGCGACAGTGCCATTGTACGTAATATATGACTTGTGGGAAAATTGCAATTTCTATGCCATGAATATAATTGTTGTTTTTTTGTTATCAATGACAAATTACCAATGATTTTTCATCAGCATAAGATCATTCTCCATGTAAATCCCTTAACCTTGAGTTCCTTATAGATTACAATATTACAACTTTGAGATATTTTAAACTCACAATTTTGAGATTTGTTTTATGTGAAATTCAGTTTACCTCTTTCAATTACCAAGTGCCTACAAATAAGTGCTTTGGAACCTTAAGAATATGGGACAATACCTCTTCTAGTTCTTGTATCATAAGGGCTGGGATGTCGTCTGCATTCATGTCCATGTCTCTCTTGGCCCTGCTGATGTGCTCCAGGAAGACCTCTGGGATGTTACCTTTTGTATACTTTTTACCTGAAAAAAAATACATATACATTGATCATAGAGCTCCGGAGTCAATTTGACCCCCCCCCCTCCCCCCACAATATCTTGGCCACAGAAGGTCTGATTGATGGGAAATTTTGCATGGACAGCAATGCACATGCAAAGAAATGTTGCTTTGATGTTTGTTTTTTACAAAAATCACTCATTTATTACTTTATTATAATTCATGCAAATTAAATTCCTATTTTAACACATTCAATAATATATCATTAAACAAGGCAAACGCCAAGCGTTGTCTTGCCTGCATCTTAGGCCCTATAAGCAGATCAGGAGGTGAATTTTGGGTTCTGGTAGTTTACTCTTTAGCAATAATGGAATCCCAAGGAAAGTCTGTTTTCCTTTTGACCTGTTGCCTTTGACCCACATTTGAACTTGACATGTTTTATAGAACAATTTAGAAAAGGCAGTATTTTGTACACAAACGTACTATGCAAAATGTCAATTGTGGCTAGACGTGTGGTTAAGTAATGTTGCATAACCTCTAGCATGGACTGTCCCAATTTTGGGGCAAATTTGGTCTCAAAAGTTGCGAGACAATAAAGTCATTGAAAGGCAGGTTGTGATTTGTAGCGGTTACGTGGCAGTCCTGGATTGTGTACGGGGGAGGCAGGGGCCAAATTGACCCCCCCCCCCCCCCCAGTCAGAATAGTCAACCCTACTAGTTCATCTAAACTTTAAAATTTGGATTGATGGAGATACAGGATAGCAATTATTGTATATCTTGCTGGGGCTCAATATTCTCTTCAATAGACATTATACGAAGCCATGATTTGTGCATACCAACATAGGGTTCCAGGGCTGCTTCTGAAGTGAAGGTTGGGTATCTTTCTATCGCCTCTTAATTCCCACGTCTTAGCCCCAACTCCCTTAGCAAACACGCTCTTCAGACTCTTCATTGCCTTCAGTTCATCGGCATCCGCCTTCATCTTTTTAACATTCAAAGACAAGGTCGCCTCCAGAAGAAGTGAATATCGCTCCTCTTCTGAGAGTCCTTGTAGCTTCATGAAACACTATAAAATAAGACAAATGAAAATAATAAGAGTAGTTATTAGTGCACGTGAAGTATTGTTGCTCACTGTCAGAAGACAAATTTTATTTGCATATATATGAACTATCAACTTTTTCAATCAAAGTCAATTCTTCTGCAAAGAATCCCCAATTCATCTATTGTTTGATTTGAATATGTAAAAAACTATTGCTTTAACCCTATTCTCACTTTGAGTGCAAGCTTAATGCGAAATATTGCAAGGACGTCAATACAGATTTGTTTTTATCACAAATTTGTTACTTTATTATAATTTATGCAAATTAGATACCTATTTTAACATATTCATTAATATTTCATTAAGTTATGAAGCTCAATCTCTTTTTTAAAGTTGCTGAATAGCATAGGCAACAATACTGAAATAATAAATAATGAAATTTCCGATCAATTCTTTTGTATTCTATTGTTTCATAAACTACTTATGTATCTATTGTTTTCATTTATATATGTGATTTTTTTCATGTTTCAAAAGTGTATCTTGAAAAGTTTCAAGACAAGTATGGTCAGGCAAAAAGACTAGAAGGCACAATTAACAGTGTTGTAAAGCAATTTAGGAAAAGCAGTATTTTGTACACGAACGTACCTATGCAAAAAGTTGATTTTATTGTTAATTTTTAGAACTCGGTCTCAAAAGTTGCGAGACAAACAAAAAAAGTCAGAAAAAGTCACCGGAAGCCGTGTCGCTATTTGCAGCCATTGCGCATCAGTCACAGATTTTGAACTGGAAATTGAACCCCCCCCCCCCCCCCCCCCCTCCAGTCAGAATAGGGTATCCGCCAATGGTGGCGCTATATTACTTTATTTACTTTGGTTGTGATGATTTGATAAACTCCTTATAGCGGCTGAATAAACCACAATTCTCATTTGCACAGAAAACATGTGGTATGTGTGACATCCAGTCCAGCTCAATTTTTGTATTTTTCATATAGCTCATTACTCAGCAATAATATACATTTTCTACCAAAAAGTTATAATTTATTTGGTGTTTTGAACATTCGCAAGTCAAGTTTTGTTCGATTCTATGAAGAAACTAGATGGAATTCGACTGCGCGCAGTCGAAAATGATGCCTCCGTCATAGAGCAATTTTACAAACCAAAACAGAAGACATTTTTCGAATTCAAGTTCAATTGTAATCCATTAACAGGCTCTCAGAATATCGTGATTACAAGCAATTTCTCATATACATATATGACCCTTTGATCTTTGACCTCATGACCCTAAAATCTACTCAGTTCATTGGCTCTGCAAGATGTCCTGAGTTAAATAGTAATCCATCTGTCAGTTCTAATGAGAATGTGTTCACAAGCTATTTTTGCATACATAATGAGCCCATGACCTTTGACCTTTGATCTTATGAACCAAAAATCTACTCAGTTCATTGGCTCTGCAAGTAACATACATGACCTAATTTTGGCAGGAATCCATCAATCGGTTCTTTAGAACGCGATCACGAGCTGTTTTTGCATACATAATGTGCGTTGTGGCCTTTGACCTTTGACCTCATGACCCCAAAATCTAATCAGTTCATCTGCTCTGCAAGTAACATACATGACCTAAGTTTAGCAGCAATCCATCAATCGGTTCTTGAGATAACGCAATCACGAGCTGTTTTTGCATACATAATGTGCGCTGTAGCCTTTGACCTTTGACCTCGTGACCCCAAAATCTAATCACTTCATCGGTTCTGCAAGTAACATACATGACCTAAGTTTGGCAGCAATCCATTACTCGGTTCTTGAGATAACGCGATCACGAGCTGTTTTTGCATACATAATGAGCCCTGTGACCTTTGACCTTTAACCTCATGACCCCAAAATCTAATCAGTTCTTTGACTCTGCAAGATACATACATGACCAAAGTTTGGCAGGAATCCATCAATCGGTTCTTCAGATAACGCGATCACGAGCTGTTTTTGCATACATAATGAGCCCTGTGACCTTTGACCTTTGACATCGTAACCCCAAAATCTAATCAGTTCATCGGCTCTGCAAGATACATACATGACCAAAGTTTGGCAGGAATCCATCAATCGGTTCTTCAGATAACGCGATCACGAGAACGGGACGTACGTACGTACGTACAGACGTACGTACGTACAGACGTACGTACAGACGGACGGACGGACAACCCGAAAACATAATGCCTCCGGCTACTTCGTAACGGAGGCATAAAAAAATGCTTTCCTTCATTACTCAAGATGATATTTAAATGTGTAAAAAAAAATAAAAAAATTTAAAGCTTACTTACACATTGTTTCAAATCCTTTCCAGTAGATTCTCTAGTTGCATCGAAAAGGAGAGTGGCTTTCCTGTAGCATCTGTTTGAATAACTAGCCAACTGGAAAGTTGGCTCGAGAGCCCTCAGTGCCTGTAAATTACAACAAAAAAAGAAATGGATAATATATGCTCTCATAACCAGTTTGATTCTGAACATTCCAATTCATTCACTGCAATCACCATTGCATTACATAATTCACCATATTGTAATATGACCCCTCAAGTTAAAATATAAGAAATGTTAGAACTTTTTGGCTAAAATTTATGTTTCCAACAGTCACTCTTGAAAGCTCGATCATCTCAAATCAATCATTGATTAAACTCCATTTTGTCATGTACATGTAAGTTGGCTGAATATAACAATAACCTTTTTATTGGGGGGTTGGGTGATGTTCATGAGTTTTTATGCTGAACATAAATCTAATTTAATGTCCGATTCATCGTTTCATTAAAAAAAAAACCTACTTCGCTACAAGTAAAAATAGAACATTGAATGAATTCAGCATTTTATCTAGATGAAAATGTCAGATGAAAATGTCAGCTCTAGTGTTTAGACTTACATTGAAGGAGCCATTTTTCCCAAGGGCTAGGGAACACTTGCGTCTTGTCGAGGCAGTCATAGTGCAGGGCTCATCCTCCACATCAAGGTTGTTGTCATCGTATAGAATTGACCTGCAGACAGCAACCTCCTCCTGCAAGCACGGCTTGTCTACAGCAGGTTGCCCACACCTATGCAGTGATGCCACTCTCAATGCCTCAACCTTGTCCAGGTTTTGGTACACCCTGCAGCGCCATCCACGAGATAGATGTTCATATCTAAAGCAATCAGAAAAAGTATATTGGTTATAGGATATTGAGATGGGTAGGATATAGAAACATGGTGTATATATGTATCATGCAGAATAAAATATTGGAAAAAAGCTTACACGGTATACCTTTCCATGCAGTCACACACTTTTTAAGAAAACAAATATGAACATGGTACACAAGGGAAATATTCTATGGGATTTTATTTGAGTCAGGGATCTAAAAATATTTTGTATTGTCCTTAATATACCCTTCATTGTATAACTATAAATGGAACACCTCTCTATTACCATTTTTCTTCCCAAATGGTACATTGACTACCTGGGTAGCATTTCTTTTATGTTACATGCTTCCACTACATATTTGTGGACTGCATAATAAATGGAGAAAAAAAAAGACAAGTGATAAATGAATATGTTCTGTACATATAATATCGGTAAGTACATCACATAATCCCTTTAAAAATTTAACCTTTGTCTCATACACTGTAACTACAAAAAGAAACAAAAATAACATTAAAAAGCAATTGCAAAAACGGGTAACTTTTATAGAATAAAATACCTTTCATCGTCAACAAGATCCTTAGCTGCAAGAGCATAGCACACCCCTCCTAGGAGCTGGTAAGCTGTTCCAGAAGGGCCATCTACTGCGAGGACTGGAAGGACATGGGAGCTCTGGAAGTGGGTTGCTGCCTTCATCACGAACTGTTTGGCCTCCATCACTTCCTTCCTGGTACGTGGTCTCTGGAGATCCTTCTCGGGCTCCACAAGTTTTTTGAGGGAGATTTCAGAAATGCCTACATGTAAAGAAATAAAATTTCAGGTCAATGACACATTTTCAAAGATTGTGACATTTAAATCTTTAATGTTTATAAATAATATCCCCTGTGCAGAGAACAATTAATCTACATTTTGAAAATGACACCAGGGGCCCGTTGCATAAAGACTTACTATTATGGTAACTTTGCCATTATGGTAACTACCATGGTAACCGGGCTCAGCAGCCAATCGAAATCAAGGTTTCTATGGTAGTTACCATAATAGTAAGTCTTTATGCAACGGGCCCTGATACATATTATTAGTAACTGGATCAAAACACACAGAGGCTCATCAGGGAAATTTTGTCCTAGAGCTATACAAAAAATATTCCTATAGCCCTTTTCAATTCAATCTCATTTTGCCTTATGTGGAAAATGCAACATATGAACATTGTTTTGGGGAATTGGCAATTAATCATTTTTCAACTTTATTTTGGTTTTAATCAGCAGTTGGCCATTTTACCTTCCCTGTGGCTATTGCAGAGGGGCATTAAATAATCAATTTGGCCCCAAACATGTACTTCATAAACAATAAGAAAAAGGAGATTGTAGTTTTGATGAAAAAAATGGAAATATTTGTGGTATTTGTATAGGAGTCCATTTAAAAATTGTTTGAAGTTATACAAAATCAAATAATAAAAGTGGAATGTCCCAATTTTATCAGGCTTTCAGTGCTGTTATATTGATAAACTATTTTGTACACATTCTCTCCATGATATTTGCATTTCTCTTTGATTTAAAAACTGCCAATCAATAACATCACATTTAAACTTAGTGATATCATGTAGAGAGAAATGTTGTACGTCTGGAATTATTAGTGAAATGAATTTTGTAAAAGAATGGAACACAAACTAACCTTGACATTTTTGTTCAATTGCTGCATCTGAATTCTCCGCCGAATGTTCAGAAGTCTTGTTTCGTCTCTTACGTTCTGGTGGAGTTCCGTCGCTGCTAGATCCAGAACTGCTACGTTTTTGCCTCGATTGTGTGTAAGATTGAGAAGGAAGGAGTTCTTCCTCTGATGACGGAAATGAATAGATCATGTCGTCATTAACGATCGCCATCACTGACAAAACATCGGTCAGGCTGTTCTCCGTTTTTTTCAAAGTCTTTGCCATGTTTGTGACACTCATTTGGCAAAACTTTGCCTGCATGTGTAGAAAGACCATTACTAAAACAGACCTGGGAAGAAAGTAAATCGGACAAATACAGGCATTAATATAAGCTGCTTAATGAAATTATATTCATTTTGCTTTGACAACCTCACACAAAGATTATAAGGGATACAGTTGAATGTTCTACATGTTTGCCTAGAACTAGAAATATCACCGAAAGTGATTAATACTCACTCCCCATGTGTGTGCACGAAAAATGAAGAAGTGGTTTGATATATACAAGATTTTACAGATTTATTGCAATAATAGACCATTACCATGGCAACACACTTTCCGACACATTAAAAAATGTGTCTTGCACATAATCAACTCAAGACCAATATTTGTGCGAAATTTAATGAGCATTGCTCGAAAAATGAAGAAGTGGTTTGATCTGCAAGATTTTACAGATTTATTGCAATAACAGACCATTACCAATGCAACGCACTTTCCGACACATTAAAAAAAATGTCTTGTACATAATCAACTGGAGACCAATATGTGTGCCGAGTTTCATGAGCATTGCTCAAAAAAATGAGGAAGTATACATGTATATAGTTCGATCCACGAGATTTTCCCCCGATATATTACAATAATATGCCGTTCCCATGGCAACGCAGTATCCAACACAGTAAAAAAGTATGTCTTGCACATCTCCATCCTAAGACCAATATGTGTGCCAAGTTTCATGATCATTGCTCAAAAAATGAGGAAGTAGTTCGATCCACAAGATTTGCAACAGACTGACCGACTGACCGCCCGACAACCCGACCGTACGCCAATTCCTATGTACATGTATACCCCCTTCAAACTTCTTTTGGCGGGGGAACATGCAAAAAAAGATCCCTTTTTCCTTGAATGCCAATTTTTACTCATATTTCTTTGTTGTACATGTACATGTAGCTAGGGTAGATATGTTTTGCATAATATACAAATTACAATTCCCCTTGAGAAATCAAGAGTGAAGTTGTAGTCTGCCTGATGATCGTGTCATGTAACATACAACAAATGTGCATGCACAGGACATTCAGAAACTTTTAGTAAGTCGATTTCCTCCGAAATGTACAAACAGTACAGACTATATACCTCTATGTTTAGAGAAACAACCTATATTTTGCACTCTCATTAATTAGATGAATTTTCATTAATACAATTGCGATACAAGTATGGGATGTATAACTTTCAACAGTTTGCACTGCGGTAGAGTTTAGATTCTGCCCTCGTTATAAAGGAGAATAAACTCCTCAGAGACAATTGAATTGTAAGAATGCAGAAAAATTAAAGTAACATAAATGTCAGTGAAATTAAGTTGAAGCAAAAACAGTCAATTAATGAGTAAAGACGTGAATTTAAAAAAAAGTTATGATTACTAATGTTTAATATGGAGATCATACATGAAAAACTTTCCAATTTCTTTTGCAGATATTGCACTAAAATCACCTCTTTTATAGGAGGACTTGGACAAAAATTCTGTTCTATGAATTGACTGAGGAAAAAAATGAAATTCACATATTTTTGTACATGTGGGAGAGTTCTCCTTGTATGACATCACAAAAAGTGACTGCGTTGCCAATATGAGATATTCCATGTCATCAGTGATTGAAACTTTTAATGGTGCACCATCCTCTCAGGTTGGCTAGCACTAGGTGGGTAGTCCAGTAATATGGCATAAAGCTAGTCTTGATACCTTTACAATACATTGTACATTTCAGTATAAATTATACCTGTATAATTGGATTTATAATGGAAAACAGGAATGTATGGAAGGGCATTGTACTAATTTGTTACAAGTTTGGTAACATATTTGTGGTATGAATGTCATAAAGAATAGAGGAAAAATTTGTAATCATTTAAGTGTGCATATATTATAAGACTACATTATCAGGATGCTGCATTCTAGGTTAGGAGCCTGGACAGTTCGAGTACCACCGGTACGATTTCAGGACTCAATTATGTATACAGTTCTGTTTCTGTCCCGTTTAAAGCCAGTATAACCTATAGCACCCTTGTAAGGACCATCTGCATAAGTAAGTCGTGAACTATTATATAAATAGTGTATACTCTATCATACAATAATGAATTATATGTCCGACTAAATTACTAAATTATCCTGAGTCAAAATAAACCTGCACGAGGGATAATTTAGTATTTGGAGTTCATAGTCCAGTATTTATAGTGTACATGATAGAACATTCACTATTTATTATAGTAAATAGACTCCTAAATACAAACCCCCCTCCCATTCATGAATTTCAGATTTCTCCAAAAAGGGAATTAAAAAAAACATTCTTTAGAGAATTCTAGATGTGTTTGTTTTTTTTGTTTTTTGAGAATCCTGAAATTCTGAAGAAAATTTTTTTTGGAGACTTTTTTATTTTGTTTGGTTTTTGTTGAGAATTCAGAATACTTTCTTTCTTTCAAGAATTCATAAACTTTCATAATACAATATGCTGATTTACAGAAATACATTGTCAATCGCTATGTCAAAAGGTATAAGACTAACTTTGAATGTCGCCCCAGTACATAGTCTAGCTAGGTTAATCCTCTTTTAAATATCTCTTTAAAAAATCTAATCTAATCTAAGATGGTTAATGTCAGCTTAAAGCTTAAAGGGAAATTGAATCTTTCATAGAAATTTGGTTTGGATGAATGTAGAAAAATCAAACAAATATGAGTTTTTAAAAGTATATACAAGTATGGAGACCCTCCCATTGGCAATGTGACCAGTATGTATGACTTAGTGGGGAAACTTTCAGTTTGTTAGGTATACTTTTCCTACATGTAAGTTCCATGTTTAACCAACATTGGCCATTTAGAAAAAAAAGTACTTTGTATAAAAAACACTCTCTGCACACATCACATCAGAACAAAAAATACAACACAAGGACAACGCAAAGCGTAGCAAGCCCTCGCTGGAAACAAACGGCATAATACATCAGAACAAGTTACATGTACGTCCATTAGACGGAATTAAGTTACTGACATCTTGGGATTGAATGAAAAGAAAGTTTACTACTTTACGGAATAACCCAAGACATTTGACCTTTGACCTAATGTACATTATTCCAAAATCAAATTTAGGCTGTATTTGATACCATGCATGTACCTTCATATCATTTCATGAAAATCTGTCAACATTTTAAATTATCAAACGGAAACCAGTACGTGTTCACAAGATTTGTTACAGGCGGACGGAAGGACGGACAGTAGCGTTACTATTTTCCCCTCAGATTTCCTCCGCAAGGGGATTATCTGACAACATTACTAAAGTTATCGAATGGCAGGGGCCGCGGGGATTAAGGGGGGCTGCAGCCCCCCACTTTTTTCAGTAGACGTGTACAAAACGCGAAAATGACTATAAGATTGTGCTTTTTTGCATGATCCGCCCCCCCCCCCCCCCCCCACTTTCAAAAAACGCTCCGCGCCCTGAAATGGAAACCGCATATTCAGATGCATAGTAAGCTATTTTGCATATTTAATGAGCTATGACTTTGACTTAAATACTCTGAAATCAAACTTAATAGGCTGTATGTTTATACAATATGTACAGTACCTCATACCATATTTTATAAAAATCCATTAAAGGGGGAAGTCCACCCTGAACTTAAGTTGTTTTTAATAAAAGCAGAACAGTGAGAGAAACATATCAGTGAAGGTTTGAACAAATCGACAAGGATACAAAAGTTATGAATTTTTAAAGTTTTC